ATGGTGTGATGAGACTGGTGGTGGCTAGATCCTGTCAGGTGGTCTACCCATTGTTGCTGACGTTATGTCATGGGCTCATGTCCTGGACGTCTCGTGCCGACCGCTCGGGGGGAGTTGTGTAACGCCCCTCTCCTATATAATAGCCAGGACATTAATCCGCAAGAGTCAGTAAACTGACCATGTGCTAGACCCGCCGCCTTTCGGGCGTAAATTTAATCGAGGGATTCGCCGAGAACATGAATGGTTCTCCAGTCAAATGTGGGCACCCTGCCAGGATCATAGTTCATCCTCTTCTTATGTTAAGAAGTGGTCGATAGCCCTCTTCCCGTAAAGTCCTACCCATGGGAAACAACACATCTACGGGTTATAGGCTCACAGCTCAATTGGCGTAGAGCTCCAGGACCACGCATTTTCTCTGACGGTGGAAGGGCACCTCTAGGTTTCAATGGCTTTCTACTACCCGAATCAATCCAGGCAGCACTTGGGTGAATTGGTTCAAACCAGCCAAAACCCACCTACCACGGACGCAAAACATATGTTGATCTTTCCAGTACCTCAACCGCTGCGTGTGAACGGCCTGAAGCGGATCGCAATCTGTTTCAGCAATCATATCCCCGAGCTGGATCTGCTCCCCACTGACTAGTCTGTTGAGCCAAAGGCTCCGGGTGGAGTCCCTCAAGCAAACCTCCGCCACTTCTCTTGCGATTGCTCACCCAAGCTATTGTATGCCTGCGCAAAAAGCGCTCAGCGTCGGGTGTTCGAATGTGCGCACACTATGGATCGGAACTCGAGTGAGCGCACCGAGCGAGGCACTACACTGGTCGCGATGGAACTGGCGCGCTCCAACATCGATATTGCGGTGCTCAATGAGACTCGGAACTCTGAGCAATATAAGTTACGTGAAGCAGATGTTGGCTACACGTTCTACTGAGTGGGCAACGCCACCTCAGCATAACTTGAACATGGGGTCGGATTTGCAAAATCCGACCGTCTCAATGGCTAGCTGCTGGGTCAACCAACGGGCATCAGCGCGCGACTGATGACTGTTCGCCTACGACCCGGAAGAGCTAAGTTTGTGTTATCCTGATGACACGGGTGATCAATTCTACACTCAGCTATCTTCCGTGATACGGTCTATGCCGAGGAGTGACCAACTATTTCTGCTGGGTGTTTTCAACGCGCTCAATGAGCGTGACGAATCGACGTGGACAGATATTATCGGTCCGCATGACATTGCTTCAGCGAATTCGAACGATGACAGGCTGCTCTCACTGTGTGCTACTCACGACCTGACGAGCAATAAGACTCGGCTTGCCCTGATTGCGAGTGATGTAGTAACTTGGACACACCCATGGATTGATCACACTCATCTGCTCGACTATGTCAACATATGTCAGCGTGATATGCGTGACGTGCTCAAGACTCGTGTACTGCGTGGAGCTGAGTGTGGCACTGGTCACAAATTGGTGCGGACCAAACTGTACATATATTTTCGTAAATCTATGTATTGCACTCCCGCCGTGAATCGGCGTAAATTTAACATTCTCTCCCTCAGTACTGTGGAGAAACGTATTGAGCTGGAGAAGGCGATGGCTGCACCCCTGTGTGATGTGGAATGCGTAGCCACAGTGGGCGACCTGTGGCACCACATTCGTGATCAGGTGACAGCTGCTGCTGAGGAGACCATCGGGTGCGCAAACTGTAAGCGGCCTGATTGGTTTGATGAGAATAATGCGACGATTGTCGCGTTGGTGTCGGAGAAGAATGCAGCATTTGCTGCACATGTGGCAGACCCCAGTAACTTGGGCAGAAGAGAAAGTTTGGCGGAATTCGACGACGACTGATCCGAGACCTCCGTCGCATTAAAAATGCATGGTGGACGGAGGAGGCACAGCAGATGGAATGCTACACCGAATGCCGCCAGCACAAAGAATTCTTTGACTCCTTGAAGACTGTGTATGAACCGAGGTTGTAGCCGCTGAGGACGCTGCTCGCTGGTAGCTCAAGTACTGCTTTCACACAGACTGCAGACATGATGTAGATCTGGCGAAACACTTTGATTGTCTCTTGAACTACTGTTCAGGGGTCGATTGGCCTACTTTGAGTGGCCTGAAGCAGCCTGATGTGAAGCCGAGTGGCGGAGACGCCGACACTTGATAAGACTCAGAGAGCACTTGCTTAGCTGCGAAACGGCAAATGTGCCGGGGCCGACGGGATCCCGCCTGAAGTATTGAAACACGGCGGACCCGCGTTGCTGACTACGCTGCACCACTTGGTGCAACGTGTATGGATTGAGGATGAGGTGCCTCCTGAGCTGAAGGATGCCCTTGTGCTACCGCTGTACAAGGGCAAAGGGAGCAAGCAATGTTGCACGAATTATCGTGGCATCAACTTGCTGAGTTGTGTGGGCAAGGTGATTGCCCGAATCCTGCTCAACTGCCTCGTCTGTCAGGTTCTGGAACCTAACGTGGCGGAAGAGCAATGTGGATTCCGTTCGGGTCGCAGCACTATGGATATGGTGTTTGCGGCTCGTCAGTTGCAGGAGAAGTGTAAAGAACGGCACCAGCCGTTGTACTCGCTTTTGTTGATTTCACCAAGTCATTTGATACGGTGAACCGCGAGGCATTGTGGCTGGTGTTGGGTAAGTTTGGTTGTCCGAGTAAGTTTGTAAGTTTAATTGGATGTATGCACAGTGGTATGCGGGCGAGGGTGCAGCTGAGTGGAGAGACCTCGGATGACTTTGCAGTTGTCTCTGGTGTGAAGCAAGGCTGTGTCTTAGCTCCTGCCCTGTTTAATATATATCTTCATGCCATGATATCTTGTGCTTGTGGCGTTCGTGTGGAGCACCGTATTGATGGTGGGTTGCTGAACATCCGTCGTTTCGGTGCGAGAACTCTAGTCTGTGAGACAACTATCCGTATGTTGTTGTTTGCTGACGATTGTGCGTTGTTTTCACACAGCGCGGATGAGTTGCAGCATATGACTAGTGCTCTGGCTTCGACAGCGGTCAAATTCGTGCTCACCATCAACACAAGCGAAACTGTCTGTCTCTTTCAGCCTTCACCGGAGGTGCAATCTACCATGGTGCTGTGAATCAGCATTGGTGATAACGTATTGGAAAACACCTCTCACTTTTGCTACCTTGTATGTATGGTTTCGACTGACCAGCAGCTACACAGTGAGCTGCGTATCCGCGTACTCAAGGCAGCGGCGGCATTCGGGAAGCTAGAGTACCGAGTGTGGAATAACCATCAGCTTACCGTTGGCACGAAGCTGATGGTGTACAAATCCATGGTGCTGTCCGTTCTTCTATACGGCAGTGAAACGTGGACGATGTACCGGCGGGGTGTGCGATGTCTCGAGCGGTTCCATCAACAGTGTTTGCGGCGGATTCTGCGCATCGATTAGTGCGACAGAGTTGCAGACACGGAAGTGTTGCGTCGAAGTGGAATGTATGCAGTGGAGTGCATACTTCTGCTGAGACACTTGAGGTGGCTCGGTCATGTGAGCCGTATTGATTCGACGCGGATACCGATGCAGCTATTATATTGTCAACTAAATTTTGGGAAGCGGCATGTGGGGAAACCGAAGCTTCGTTACCAGGACATGGTCAAAGTGAGCCTTTCACGTTCTAACCTTGATTGCAGGTCATGGGAATCGAAGGCGGTTGATCGGCGTGCATGGCGCGATCCGATCACGAAGGCAGTTGCCAAAGTGCAAGAGAAATCCCTCGTGCATGTAGAGAAGAAGCGGCAATTGCGGAAGCGAAAGGCGCCGATGGGTTATACTCCATCGACATCGAGCGCATGGTGCTGTAGCACATGCGGTCGCGAGTGCCTGAGTCAGACAGGCCTAGTGAGCCATGAGTGACGCCACTCGGGACCATCACCGAAACGACGACGGGCGCTGCAGGGAAGATAGGCAGAACCGGCGCAGCATTTGTAGGTACGCTGTATTCGATTTACTAACCACGTGCTGGCATGCTGGGTCTCTTTATTTAGGTGGTGGGGTTGCTATATTGTCTTAATAATGTCTACGTGAACTGTCTTCTACCAACTTGCACACATCGCTCAAATTAGTTGTAGTTAACTTTGATAACATTTTCGCGTTTGTGACATTTTCTTAAAATACATTTTCTGATGTCTTGAACGTATAGCGGATTTTTGCCAACCAATTTATTTCATATGCTCATTTATTGATGAGCTATATCGGCATATCTGTATGCATTATTCGATTTACTTTAGTTGATATTGTCGCTTCAAGGGTTGGCTCTTGCTTGAAATCCCCGGTGCGGCTGCGATTAATGTGCATGTTTACAAAGTGAGTACCTATCTTTTACCCACTACCTCGTCCATACTGGCTGCAGGAGACAGTTGGTCGTTGCTGGAGGGCCCATGGTGCACCGTTCTCGTGGCCGTGCTAGGCTCGAAAGTGGTTCCAGGCACAGTGTAAAGCAAACTACGGCCAAACTACCTCCTTAGGTACGCTTAATTCTCCAAATACCGTGTGCTTGTGTTTACCTGTGAAGGAGTGTAGGTCGGCTCCGTTGATGAAACGTGACTCCAATCCACATGCCTCCCGGTCTTGTAACCTGATTTACACTAGATTTGGGGTCTGTGGTGTTGGAGCTGTGGGTGGTGCAGCGCAAGCCACCCATGTTCCATTCGTAGACGCAGACGTCCTGTGTCTGGCCACAGTGACAGGCAAATCCGAAACCGGATGCCACCAACCACGTAAGTTTATATATATATATATATATATATATATATATATGGATTTAACATGAATCGAGTGAAGCTAAGACGTGTCAAGTTCTGAGATGATTTAAATTCACTGAAGTTTCACACGACAAATTCTGTGGCGAGCCGAGAATGCTTTACATTGAAATTTAACTTAAGACATATTTTGGTCTAAGTTACAGATTACGGTTAACCTCCTTTAATTATGTCATTAATTTATTAAAGTTCCATATCACTTTTTGCCGTTTTCTTCTACCCTAGGTCAACAACAGTTGCTATGAGTGTGGAAAAGGAGGAATGGGGTTTCGATATCGTCATGGTGCCATATAAATCAGGCAAGCCGCTTTTGTCTTCTTGCTTTCAAGCGATATTCGATAGACCGATAAGCAGTACCCTTTGCTGCTTATCAGTTTAAAAATCAATAAACCCCACGCATATGACTGACTACCTTGTTTCTTTAGATTTTATCCACACATTCTCTAGTGACCCATCCTTTTGGTGGTTACAGCTGAAATTCGGAAGGAGTGGAGTCATGAGGTTTTTAAAAGGGTATACCACGAACATTTGTTGAAGTTTCAGTAGAAACCTGTATAGAAATTTATCACATCTGCAGTCCATCAGACAGCCATCACACGTCCGGAACTGCACTCTATACATGTTTTATTCTTTCGGGACCCGTCGGACCGTAGTAGGGTTCAAACCCGCAACTTGACTGTTGCTAGTCCGTGGTTGCAATCACTGAGTACCTGAAGACGACAACGACCGTCCTGACCAATTTCTATATATATATATATATATATATATATATATATATATATATATCAGCCATACTGTGCGTCTTTGGAAGTGTGCTGGCTGTTATATGTAGTCTAGACGTGATGTATTGTTACGTATACTATCCGTATTTTTCTCTTCGCAATTCGTATGTACATAAACTCGTCTAGTTACTTTCAAGTCATTAGTTCTGAGTTAACATCGGTGCTCACAAACCTAGTCTCACATATGTCAAGCCTCAAATTAAGGGCATGATTGATTACGGACCAAGAGTACACTTTCCCAGGCTGGCTACGGCAAGAAGCAAGTAGCGAGTATGCTGAAAGAGCTTCAGTTTATCACTGGCTTTAATACACTAGTTATTTTTAGGTCTACGTACGTGGAAATTCTCGTCGTTCACGATGTCGCAGGAATGCTGTAATCCGTGACAGGAATACAAAGGTGACGGGTGACACAAAGTCTATGACTTTCGCACACTTAATTACAGCAACGGTTGACGGACTATGACCGATTTACTTGGATTCTGTAAAGCGCCGTTTGAGAAGAACGCACCTCGCTGGCTAAACATAGGCTTATACTGGCAGGAAAAGTTTCCATTGTTGAAGTTAAGTGGTGTCCTGGTAATTTTGGGCTGAACGCATTCCCAGTAATTATTGACAACATATCTAACCCAGCGTTAACTGGATTCCTAGCAGCCTTTCACTCAGGAGAAGTGCCTGAGAGAGCCAGGTGTACGGTCATTACTTACTTAAAAAGGATAAAGCCTCACAGCTGAACGTGGTACAGTTTCAGAATAGAGATTATCCTGAAGACACTTATTGTGGGATGCAACGGTGATTAAAACTGTGGGATGAGTTAACCATCTGGAATAACTAATTTTCAATACAAAAGGCTATGGTGTACTCGAGTTAGTTTTGATGAAACTGTCTATATTATTTCTCAATTGATTACATTCTTAACACAATGGCTTTCATCCGTAGTGCAGCAATGGAACAAAGAAGTGCTTAACAAGTCCCATGGGATGTAAGAATTTCTGAAAAAGATAAACATGATAAAGTGAAAGGCGTTTTGTTTAACTCACCATATCCTTATGTAAAAGTGAGGAGATGTTCATTTGTTAAAAGTATAAAACGAAAATCCATTGCTTGGTTGCGGAATACTGAGTACAGATTACTGTATTGTAGAGAAAATAGAATTGAATTCAGTTTAATTTCATCGAACTAGCTTGAGAAACGCCAGACCAATTGCCATCCGAGCGTATACTTACTGTTCTCATGTACTATTTAAAATAGCTTAATCTGGGTATTTCAGGACTCAAAAATGGGAGATATCAAGTTAAGTGTACAATCCAACTCCGATTCATATAGTGATAAAAAAAATAGAAGCAAAAGGATTGGTATTTCCTGAGTTCAACTGTTCGCCGAGCTTCATACTTGGGTTGCAAATATTTCATCACCACACGAGATTACTTACTCGGTGCGCTGCTAGGTCAAACTTAGTCCGATGACTAGGTTGTCAGTTTGCGATTTAGTAGCAAGTCACTTTTGAATGGGCCTCATCGATCTGTGCCCCGTAACCATTCGACTGCTCAAATTCTCTGATAGACACGGACAATCGGCGGGATGGTTTTGACCCGGCTGTTGCGTCAGTGTGGCTAAAGGCTCGGATAGTTGCTCGCGATGGTTGTTGTTGCCTTAAAAATCGTCGTCAGCTGATTACATTTGACCCAGTAGCGCACTGATGAAGTCAGCTCATGTGGTGATGAAACGTCAGCATACCAATTGGGATGCTCGGCGAACAGTTGAACACAGGAATGATCAAGCCGGGTTACCAGTGCATCGTTTGAAACGTGTATGGGCACGAAACGCTCGGAACTGCTGGGAAGGTTTTGCCTGCAGACATGCCTCCATACTGCAGCAAGTTAACTTTTTTCATGATTGCTTGCGCAATGATGCTGTCCCCGGATCGTCAGCTACAGACATCCGATTAACCATCCAACGGCTAGGACAGTTGCACGACAATTTTGGAAACGTATGGTGCGGACCATGATCAAGCACCCCACAACTGTATCAGGAAATATGAGCGGTGTAGCAACTAGCATCGAACTAGTTGTCTGGGAGTTATGGGACTAGAATTAACAGAGCAGCTCAGCTTATCAATAGGAAGCGGAGTGGAGAATACTAGGAGAAGAAAACAACAGGCATTAAAGTACAAGTTTTTAAACTGACCCACGACAATATCGAAGCTAATCACGAGAACTGGATCCGAAATCTATCCAACAGGCCACTATCCGTAGCGGAAAAACAAGTCCCCACTAAAGAGCTCAACTACAATTTCAAGGATGCAATGACTACAGATTTGTTGTCCGGATACGAAAGTGCAATCCAGTCGAGCGTGTTTGCTGATTATACGCAGAAACAGCTAAGATATACAATTATTCCACTGTAGTAGGTAACAAACAGCGTAATTCTCCATCTCAACAGGAAATGGATGCAATGAAAGCCTTGCAAACTGATGAATCCATTGTCATTTTCCCGTGGACAAGTAGCGCGTGATGGTTATGTTGAATAAAGCTGACTATGTCGACAGCTTGCCGTAAGCCCTCACTCTGCCCGAGTTACGCGCATATAATGCTCCGATAATATTCACATATTTCTCAGGTACACTTTTCCTGAGTAGACAGTCCCAAAGTGCACATCTATCCGCCGAATCAAATGCACCTTTGTTATCGAGGAACACGACATCGGTGGGCCGCTAATATATGTGGCGATGCTCCAACAACTGACCCAACGTGAAGAGGTTGTCAATGCAGCCACGACCTCGACGAAATCCGGCTTGCTCTCCACGAATCTGGCTTTCACGAATGTCAGTCAGTCTGTGAATGATGACACAGGCACGCAATTTGGAGGCGATGGAGATCAGACTGATTCCTCTATGGTTGCTGCATTCCGATGGTGAGCCTCTCTTGAAAATTAGGACTATGATGGAGCGGCTCCAATCGATTGGGACAGTTTCCTGCTCCCACAGTTTGACTAGTAACTCGTGTAAATCATCCACAAGAGCAGGTCCCCCGAATTTGAAGAAGGCTGGAGGAAGATCATCTGGTCCCGCGGCTTTATTTAACCAACAGTGCGATCTCAAGTTCGAATTCTGAGCGAGAGGGTGGATCCAAAGGGACAACCCACGGAGCGGGGCGATCAGTGGCCGGCGAGAAATCTAACCATTCCGACCGATTAAAGTGCTTTTCAAAGTGCTCAGCCCAACGCTTCAAGCGTTTTGACAAGTTGTGAATAGGCTGCCCACCATCGTCACGTATAGTTTCAAAACACCAGGTCTCCTGCTGCCCGTTTCCCGTATCAGACGGAATAACTTACGATGGTTACCAAGGGCAGTGGCCATTTCCATCTCTGATGCACAATGAGACCACCAAGATTGGCGGTCTCTCTTCAGGCTAGCACGAAGTTTTTCCCGGACCTCTTTGCGAGTTTCGTTGTGTTCGCTTCCAGCCGGAATATGCAGACGAGCATCCACAAGTTCTAGAGACTGTGAAGACACCCAATGTCCATGTTGGCGATTAGAAATACCACATGAGGATTTTCCTGCTGCTACTAAGGTCTGGTGAATATGAGACCACTGAGCTTCAATTGCATCCAATGAGCATTTATCCAACTCGCATGACAACGTACTTTGATAAGCATTCAGAACAACTGGCTTCGCCAGTTGGCTAGTGTCAATGTGCTCAAAACGTCGCCTAAGACTTCCGCCAAAAAGCATCCGTAGGTCAGCACATACAAGTGCAAGGTCGGTGTCTACACATGTGCTACAAATCGAGCGACAGTTTTGGACGCAGCCTCTCCATCAGTAACTTTTCACAATATGATCGATTTCCTTCCATATTTGGTTCGAAGCTGATGGGCACCAAGTCACCCTCCGGCGGGTGCTGTGTCTGAAATTAGTGCTCGCAAGAAATAAGCGAGCATCTTCACACAAAGGAAGTAACCGCTCACCGTTATCATTACGGGAGCCTACACCAAGTTGGCGGCCTAGATGCAGTTCATCAGTGAAGAATTTTCTAACTTGAGTTTTCAGATCCTCAGCCATCACTAAAGTGTCCGAGCTTCTTCTGTGACTAAGGATCTTGTTCAGTTGACGATAGAAGTCGTCTTTTACCGCGTCATCGCTAGAGTTTGCCGGTGCATAGGCAGCGATAACGAATAGACGCCCGTTAGTCACACGCGACTTCGAAGCTTTGAACGAGCCAGCCAATCGGACCGCACACATCCGGCTACTGATTGGAATCCAGTGAAGCGGAGCAGCTTCAGCCTGGGGACTCAGGACGATTCCAACACCGGCTTGGCTGGTGATCGAAGCTGCATCGTCACCGGATAGGCGCAATAAGAAAGTGCTGCTAGTGCCACCTGAAGGGGATCGCAGAGTGAGCACAGGCGGGTTTCGCATAAGCAGCAGATATTGATCGAGAGGGTCTCTAATGTTTGGGCTAGTGCTGCCTGTTGATCGATCTGAAGCAATGTGCGAACATTGAGGCATGCCAATCTGAAGGAGGATCGAGAGCTCCAAATGGAAGCCGATGAACTGGGATGGGCTGCTTGCTTGGACATGGGCCTGTTGACAGCGCACGAG